CACACTTCCCCCGTTTTCTTTTTGGGCAAGCAAACCTTGATTATGCATTATGGTATGTAATAAGCGCGACACTAGAGCGCGTACGCAAGTCCAGGCGATCATTAAGCCAACTACAATCAGCAAACCCCACAATAGTAACATTAGCAAAGATTTTACTAATGATTTCATCCAGCCCCCAATCCCAAACCAATCAGTTAACCCATCCAGTCCAAAAAACCCGACGTCCTTGGTTATTTTCTCCGTATGCTTGATCATGTCGTGAAGTTGTCGGTGTATAGCTGCTGAGTGATCTTTCAAGTCCATGCAGCTCATCCCTTCAAAGTCCTGACACCCATGCCCGTGAGCAAGAAGCAGGAAATCAATAGCGGCACGGTTTTGCAGCACAGCGTGTTGTACCTGGGTCAAATCATCTGCTAACTCGCTAAGTATCGTGCTGGTTGCGTCTGCCTGCTTAACTGCCCAGCATGCAAGGCGTTCAATATTCCTGTGTGCTCGGGCGGCTGACACTCCAGGGGTAAAAAAGGAGGCAGCCCATACTTCCCAATCATTCCATAGGCTGACATCATCATTGCAGTCACTACCCACAGTAACCCTCGTACTCCTTCGTCGCCTAACTGCTATCTTCCGGCCCCCAGGAGGCCCATGTGGCCATATTATACTAAGGCGACCGATTGTGCAAGGTCCTCCCCTAGGCTCGGCTGGAATGCCAGCCCAGGCTCGATTTCCACATATAAGAAAATATCCGGGAGGAAGTTTGCGAGGATAGGCATACCGGGAGATCTGCCTCTGCTCCCCGTGGGTATAGGTTTGACCAACGGTGCTGCCGCACCAGTTTCTCCATACTGTTTTATTGCCTATCGGATCTACAGGGGTGGTACTATTAGACAACTTTGTCCAATTCCTACGAGCCCCACTATTGGAATTTATGAAGGTACAAACAGTAGCGTTGAGGGAATCTAGCAATTCTAGCTCTTGCGGTGGACCATTTAGAGTCGGCTGCCCGGTAATCCATACATTGAGCCCTGACATGAGACTAAGCATATTGTTATATCTAGCGCCGGTGTATTGAGCGGGTAGGAAATCCGCAAACGGACCACTCAACTTAAAATGGTTTACGAAACCCGCAGTATCGCTGTCGTTAAGTGGGACCCCTACCAAACAGGTTACAAAAGGCGTGCTGGGCGTCGCTAAACTGGCACAAAACTGCGTAGTATTTATTTCTCTGGCTAGTGTTACCCATATATTTTCCCGAGGATCAAACGATCGCGGATGGGGTATTGAGCCCCCCGCCGCGCAGATGCTAAAACCTGCAAGGATCAGTATTGGGGCCGCCTTCATCCTGCGTGGACGGCGCCGGCTCTTCTGATGTGGAGCTTTGTTCGTCGTGTTCTGGGACGTCGGTCGTCTGGACAGGTACCTGTGCACTTTCGACGGATGGCAGCGCTGGCTTAGTCCATTTTGCAGGCACCCAAGTAGTACCTGAGGGGGTTGCAACACAAAGATAACCTCTCCCCCAATACAGGACCCGAGCTGGCCCCTGCCAGACACCAGTGCGTGGATCCCTATACCGAACCCACACATCTGGCGCACTTTCGTTGCGATCATCTCCCGCACGGTGCTTGACAGCGGCGGGATCTCTATCGTCCCCAAAGACACACAAATGATTGACAACATAAAGGGCCTTGTTCAGCTTAGTGTGAGGATCCTGTTGATCCTCCTGTTTTGATATATATTGTTTCAGTGTTCTGTGTGCCCTTTCAATTATTGCTTGGCCAGTAGGGGAGTGCGGTATTCCTGTAACGTGCTCCACCCCCCAAACACTTAGCCATCTTTTGACTCTGACGCTTACGTAAGCAGGGCCATTGTCTGTCTTAATTCTTTCAGGGACCCCCATGGTTGCAAAACAACTAGACAAGTGTCTGATCACATGGGTGGCTTTTTCTCCTGCTTGCGCGGTAGCCCATATAAACTTACTGTAGGTGTCTATGGTGACATGGAGATATTTAAGGCGACCGAAACTAGGGAAATGTGTCACATCCATCTGCCATATCTCATTGAATTTCAGGCCTCTGGGATTTACTCCGCATCCTAGCCCCACTCCTCCGTTGTGATTGCTGCAAATAGGGCATGCTCTTACAATAGCCTTTGCCTCACTGATCCCAATGCCCAGCTGTCTCACTAGCCCCTTAGCATTCTGGTGATATGTGCTGTGGGCTTCTCTGGCCATTAATTCCTTACTAATGAGGGGCGAGTTCTCTGCCGGCATTACTAGCCGGTCAGCCCTGGCATTACCCTCCCCTAGGCCGACCTCCCACTTGTGGCTGCGAATGTGGATCACCGCATAAGGTTCTGTCCTTCCCTTTAAGGCTCTCTTCAACTGTAAAAATAACTGGTATAGTCTTTTGTTGCTAACTTCTTTAACACTAGCATCCTCTATTCGGGACGCCACTCCTACTACGTAGAGGGAATCCGAGACTACATTCAGGGGCCCTTCTAGGTGAGTAACTGCCCATGTGACAGCCAGTAGTTCTAGCGTTTGGAGGCTGTCTTCAGGCGTGGCCTCGAGAATTTGCTGCTTCCATTCCTCCTTGTCCTTCCAGACCACGGCTGCTCGTCGAGCCCTCTTTCCGGCATCTGTAAAGGCCGTTGTGGCGTTGGGAATGGGCTCTTTTTCCCTAAGAGTTCTGGTGATCCAGCTCCATTCTCCGATCCACTGGAGCGCCTTAGGCGCTATCGATCCTGTCCTTATCTCTGCTCCTAGGCCCAAGAGCGCCTCTGCGAAGTCTGAGGAACCAGTCCAAGGTGGGTTTCTCAATGGGTAGGTGAATCACGGCTGGCTCCCGTCCAGTGACCTCTATGACACGCAGTCGACCTTTCTGGATCAATTTGGCGAGATTTTCAATTTTTTGTATTATAGTTTTTCTAGATTGTAAAGGTGGCGACAGCCATTCCAATACCCTTGGCTCCCCCGTTTCTTTTTTATACTGGGTGAGCGCGCCCAATAGGTGGTCGTCGCCATGCCAAATGGTGAGGTCGATTGGGCAATCTTGTATCCGGCGAGACACAAAACCGTCGGTTATACACCGACCAATGTGCTGGAGGGCTTTCTCTTGTGTTGGAGTAACAATAACAGGAGTACATGGATCGGTGCCCTTCAAAAGCGGTTGTAATTTCTGTAATAAGGTATTTGGTATACCTGTTACCGGCTTTAACCATTGCAGGTCACCTAGGAGTTTCTGGGCTTCATGCAAGGTGGAAATTTTCACATCCAGCAACAGCTTCTGTGGCCGGACTTTCTGTTCCGTGATTGTCCAACCCAGGTACTTCCAAGGTGTAGACCGTTGTATTTTCTCAGGAGCTACCACTAGGGAATACTGTGCCAAAGTCGTGCTAATCCCTCTCAAATCTTCTTCAGTGAATTCTCGGCTCCGTGCAAACAAAATGTCATCCATGTAATGATAGATCACCGTATCAGACATTTTCTGCCTCAGGGGCTGCAGGGCCGCATCCACGTAGAGCTGACATAAAGTTGGCGAATTGCGCATGCCTTGCGGTAAAACTGTCCACTCGAACCTCTTGTCAGGTTCACCTCTGTTGATGGCTGGAAGCGTAAACGCAAAACGCTTCGAATCATTTGGATGCAAATTGATAGTATAGAAGCAATCCTTAAGATCAATGATCAATATAGGCCAATTTTCTGGGATCATGGCCGGATTCGGGAGACCTGGTTGCAGTGCTCCCATTGGCTCCATTTGACTGTTCACTGCCCTCAAGTCGTGGAGCAGTCGATATTTCCCTGATTTCTTCTTAATCACAAAAATAGGTGTATTCCACGGGCTCGTAGACAACCTTAAGTGTCCTTGCTGAAGTTGCTCCTTAACTAACATATGAGCCTGTTCAAGACTTTCCCGTTTTAACGGCCATTGCTTAACCATCACTGGCTCTTCTGTAATCCATGTGATGGGGATAGGGAAAGTCCAAGCAATGGCGGCTACCCCAAAGGGTGCGCATTTGTCAGCACTACCCCTAATTGAGCCAACACATCGCGGCCAATTAGACAGGATACCGTAGGGGGTAACGGTACGATGGAAAATGTCACAGTTAATTGTTGGTCATCAAGTTTCAAGCAAACTGTCGGTGTTCTTCTAGCCAAGGTGTATCCTCCGACGCCAGTTACTGTATGCGTAGATGCGTGTGATGGCCAATGGTCGGGCCACGTGTCAGGGCTTATGATGCTAGTATCTGCTCCGGTATCGAGGAGCGCAGTCGTGGCAATCTCTTCCCCCTTGTAGGCGATATTGACAGTCTTCCTCGGTCGATCTTTCAAATCCAGGGTCAGTAAGGTAAGTCCTGTTGGTCCAAAAGCCTTGGTACCCCGGGAGTCCATTCCTTCTGGTATAAGTCCTGCAGTGATCTGTGGTAGTGGTACCAGCTGAGCTATACGTTGACCTCGCTCAATCTTCAATGGTGGGTAGGGGGTGTAAGCCATTATTTGTATTTCTCCAGTATAGTCCGCATCTATTACTCCAGGGAGCACGAAGAGTCCCATTATAGAGGCTGCGGAGCGACCCAATAATAAAGCCCCGTATGCTTGTTCGTTGATTGTTACCGGCCCTTTGTTCCCCGTGGGTATCCTCGTAGGCCGATCGGTGTATAGGGTGATATCTATTGCGGCTGCCAGGTCCAAGCCGAGGGACCCTGCCGTTGCTGGCTGGAGACAGGAGGTGGCGCTGTTGCTCTTTGCCCGGTCATTTGTGTCATAGCGCGACCGGACGCGCTCGGTTGGCGGTTTCCCGACTTTTGGCGACAAGCAGTCGAATTGTGAGAGTCGGACTGACAAGTTTGGCACCAAACCCCGGTGGCCCGGCACACTTTACGCACGTGCCCTCTTTTTCCGCAGCGGTAACATCTCATGCCAGTGTTGTATCTGGAGGGGCCGCTGGCGGTGGTCGCGGCAGCTTGGAGAGGTGCAAGAGCAGCTAACACTTGGGATTGTGAGGTTTCTGCCTGCCTCTTCAGCCCCTCCCCAAGATTATTTATGGCTTTCCCCAGTAGCGCTTGGGGTCCTCCTGGTATCATTGTTGCCCTTTCTAACAGCTCCTCTATCGTCCAATTCCCCGGTAGCGTGGCAATCAGCCTTTGTATGGAGGGGTTACTGTTCTGCAAAGCACATTGTTTTAAAAGCGTCCCCTTCATCCAATTCGGAGCCCCAGCCTTTTCTATCGCGGAGGCCGCCCTGTCAATGAACGTACCAAAAGGTTCCTCTCTACCTTGCTTTATTCCCATATATGGGGGTATTCCTCCCGGCTCTTTTACCCTATCCAAGGCATTTCTAAAAACCCTCATTGCTTCTCTCACCTTATCAGGCCCCATTAGTAACTGCGCTTCGGTCCGAAGGTAATTGCCTAACCCCATCATTTCCTCCGCAGTGATCCCATGCAGCGGATCTCCTGGCTGTCTTTGTATGGCTACTGCCTCATTAACAAGAGTCTGCCAGTGTGCGCCAAAGAGTAACAATTGATGCTCCGTAAGCATAAGACGTGATAAACCTCTCAAGTCGTTTGGGAGTAACAATTGCGTGTCAAATATGTAATCTAACATCTGCTTTACGGGCTCGCTCTTAGGTCCAAATTGACTCACTGTTTGACGCAAACGAGTCAGCAGCTTCCAATCCAACGGCTGAAAAGCTGCTTGATAGCCAGCAGGATTTCCCTGCCGGTCGTGCATAGGTGTGTACAAGGCTGGGAATGCCATAGACCCAGGGGCTTGTAAAGTGGTGCTATCCCCCTCAGTCAGAGCTTGCTGGACCACGTTCTGCCAAGCCTCCCTCCTCTGCCTTGCTAGTTCTGTTGCCAACCCGCTTCCCAACCCTGGGCTGGGCTCAGGCACCCTGGGCGGCTGTGCAGGTATGGGCGGGGCAGAGGAAAATGGAGACGAGTTGGAATCACCTGCGTCATCCCCACTTTCTTTTCCCCCCTGTTCCTCAAGGGGGGGAGCTGAGGGGGCCACACCTGCTCCCTCAGCACAATCTGTGCCAGGCCATGTTGTGGATACAGCGGGTGGAATTATAGCAGTTCTAACTGTTGGAGCCCGAATCTCGCCCTCTGCCCCGTATTGTAAATTCTTTTGGTGTGCCTCAATTGCATGATCTGCTGCCTTTTTCTCTGCTACCCTCTGTAATAGCGCATTATGCACTACCCGCCATAACTTTCCTAATTTTTAGCCGTTTTATCATCATCTAACATTGCGTCCCATAGCTTATCACCCAATTTCCGCCATTCTGATAACTCATGCACCGTATGTGGGACAATAAAGCAACTTTTC